TGTTTATATGAACATGTAGTGGAGTGGTAGATAATTAAGAGCCCAACGGGTAAAACATTCTCTATGACAAGGTAGAAGCAAAAATTATAGCAGGTGCTTACATACATGACCTCTGCTTCTCAAAGCCACACTGCAAGGTATGTTCTTTTATCTCCATTTTCTAGTTCGTAAGACATCAACCGTAAGACGGTTAGAAAAGGGCTTGGACAGTCCCTGTTCCGGGAAGAAATGCCTCCTAGAAGCACGTGTTTGACCTTCATCCAGCCCATTGCCAGAACTCCTTACAGGGAACTTCTGTTATCACGTGTTTCCATTTTGGATTCCTCTAATGATGAGAGAATTCCCCCTGCACTGACTCCTAAAAGGTCTTTATGCACCAAAGAAACATGAGACAGGAAATGTTCAAGGTGAAAAAGAAGGAGAAGTTGAGGGGAAGAAGACAACCTATTTTTGTCCAAGTCTCTGAGGGGGAAGGGAGCAAATGGCTTTATATAAATGTCTCGTTTCCACCTGGACTTCTGCCAGTCTGCTTATTTCTCTCTCCATCAGCAGTGACCTACCCAACATGTGTTACTTTTCGTGTAGTAATTACAGAAGTTCTGGGCAAACTCCGAAATGCATGTGCTATCAGCACCGCAAGCAGAACAGAAAGAAATCCGCATCTTAGTGGGGTAAAATTAGGAGAAGAAAATTTTTTTAATGTTTCCAATTCGATAGCCTGAAAAAAGTAAATGTTTTCCAGTGTAGGATGACACGAAATACACAAAGAGGTGGTTGATTTTTTTTTCACCTGTCTATGTAGGAATAAGAACAATGAATCCAAAGATATAAAAAAATGTTGAAATTACACAGCTATTATTAACAGATTAATTTCTTAGATGCCACTTTATACCTTTCATGAAAGACGTTTGTATCCATGTTGAACTCAAATATTGTGGCCCTTTTTGACAGTGGACCGAATGAAGAACTAGAGAGCTAACACATCTTCAGGTGACCACAATGGGCCTAAAACAGGTTTCTGAATGGACCGGTGCTCACACAGGAATTGTGTGATAAGCCTATTAAAAAGTCTAGTGCTCTAATGTTTGGAATATAAATAGCATGTTTGCCTGAGCCAAAATGATGCAGCAAAAGCAAAACAGCTTAGCTTGTCCTAGATTGAGAAGCGAAATGTTAATGAACCATGGTCAGGACAATACCCTACAGCCACGCTACCCACAGCTGCAAACCTCTCGCAGCCCTCAGCACTGACCGGCACAGGAGGGCGTCAGAATAACCAGGCCGGCTTCAGTCACCAAACTCCACCCCACACGAAGCAGCCTACACAGCAGGGCACAGCGCCCCACAACAGCAAACTCCTACTCACCCCTGTGACCTATTCCCAGAAACAGCGCCCTCCGCTCATCCTCCCTCCTCCAGAGCCTTCTCCCAGAGCAGATCCCTGGCATCCCTGTGACTCCTGCCCACGAGGCTCCCTGAGAACACACCAGCTCAAGAGAAATGCGAGGGAAACAAAGACATCATCCCACTTCAAAACAGCCTGCATTTGAGTGACTAAGATTCTCTCAAAGCCCCAGCTTGTACTGATGAAGACAGCACTGGCAAACACTTGCTGTAAAGGCCCAGATAGCACCTAACCTTTTCAGTCCAGAGTTTCTTGTCAAAAATACTCAACTCTACAGCTGAACCCTAAAAGCACCACAGACAATATGCAAAGTAATAAGCGTGGCTGTGTTCCAATAATACTTTATTTACACAGACAGCCTGCAGTTTGTATTTTGCCCACTTTTGAACTCGGGGAACATCTGTTTAGTCCTCATCCCCAAATTCCAAGTGGGTCATTCTCCAAGTTGTGGCTGAGTACCTCACTTGCTTAGCCCTGAGCACTACCCAGGAATCACCTCCTGGGGATCACCGCCACCAACGGAGTTCAGTTACAGCAGCAGCAGCAGCAAAAGGAGTAATAGCGTCAGAAACTGCAGAGGTAACATTAAGTACTTACTTCCTGACAGAGGTGATGTTAAGCTTCATACACACATCACCTCACTTCATCCCACAGCAAGCTCACGACGGAAGTACTAGTATTTCCCACGTAAAGATGGGAAAACTGAGGCTCCAAGCAGTATGTGTCCTTCCAGAACCCCACCTGATAAAGCTGAGATTTGAACCATGGTCTGTCTCTCCAGAAGACTTACAACAGTCATACCCTCACACGCCACACCTGCAAAGTACCGTCCCAGGGTCAGCATCTTGGGAAGAACTGCATGCATCCGAGTATTAGAAACAGAGGCTGAAATGTGGACCATTAAACTAACCATCCAGACGTGGCCTGCTTCCTCTTCACTAAATTAAAAAACATTCCCCCAACAAAGGAAGAACCTCACTTAAGGGAAAAAAAAAAAAAAAAAAAAACCTCACTTCATTTGTGAGTAATGTTTCAAACACCATTTATGCGTTTAAGTATAGACCCACAACCACGAGCTCCCCATCTCATTCGTTCTGGCTTTAATTAAGGCACCAGCAGCCCACAACTCTAACCCCTGCCTGTCTCTTCTCTGCCACTGACTGTCTGGTGGCCCTCCAGACCACCCCTTCACAAAAAGAGCCCCGACATGTTGGTCTTCTGGTGTTACGGCCGAGGACGGTATACAGGTTTGAAACTGAGCACCAACATGCTGCCACAAGCAGAAGAATCCACGCCTGACTTTGTGTGACAGGTCACAGTCAAACACAGGCACACTAAAAATATTGTATAAAATCACCCAGAGGCTATAATGTGTATAAAGTGTATATAAAACCTAAATGAACATATCAGGGATCCAAGATACACATCTCATTACGTACAATGAAAGACTTGGGATCCAAGATACACATCTCATTACGTACAATGAAAGACTTGGGATCCAAGATACACATCTCATTATGTACAATGAAATATGCCAAAAAGTAGAAACCTGACAAATCTGAAGCACCGCTTGTCCCAAGCATTTGTCTCATTCTTTTATGTGTCTTTTATATTCACCTACCTTTACTGGTTCTTGCAAAACAGTCCGTATCTCTCTGAGGGATTCCTCTTATGACTGCCCTATTTCAGCAGAAACAATGTCATCTACCACAGGAGCTGACAAACCACAGCCTGTGATGCTTATTCAACTGGTCACCTATTTCTGAACAGCTTACAAATGAAAATGCTTTTTGTATTTTTTTTTTTGCAGTACTGGGGATTGAACTCACGACCTTGCACTTGCCAGGCAGGCGCTTATGCCACTGAGCTAGATCCTCAGCTGCTTTTTGTATGTTTAAATGGTTGGAGGGATATCAAAAGCATAGTATCTCTTGACAGAATGAAATTATAAAACTCAAGTTTCAGTGTTCACAAATAAAGCTGTGCCAGAATACTGCCAGTCTGCCCATTATTGCCCATCTCTGATTTTATGGCACAACAGCTGTGGCAGAGACCGGATGAAAAACTTACAGTATTTACTCCCTGTTGTTTTAAGAAAGTGCACCTTGCCCTAAATTTGAGCCATCAGCCCATCCCTTGACAGAAGCAGCGCCCAAAGGCATACACAATATAGTCCAGAAGTAGAATCTACTTAAGCCTGCCACAGGTAAGACATCAATAATCGCTCCCATCCCAAAGATGGCACGACTTGTGTCTATTCTTAACTGAATAATGGGCCCAGTTTTAGGCCTTCATTTCTTCGCTGCCATTTGCAACTGAAGATGCTGATAGGATATAACTTCCAATTTCCTGACTAACAGCATCATTATTTTAAATTGATGAACTGTAAATAGCAGGCCACTTTATGCCTCTTCCTCTGACTCCTATCAGAACCAGAGACTACAAAATGATAAATCTTCTCTCCGGGTTTCTTGGCAAAAAGATAGATACACAGATATGTATGTATGTAATTTTGGCTTTCATCTTTCAATTTCCTTCACTCATCACAAATGCTGACAAAAAGGCTCTAATTAGATAATCCTAATCACGAAGAATGGGGTATGATGGAAGACTTCAGAATCGCTATCTGCTAGCAGGAAAACAAAATAGATAGGCTATTCTCCCTGTAGGGGCAGGAGATTTATCAATAGACAAAAGGATGCAAAAAGCCAATAGATAAGGTGTAATTAAAGATCAGACCTATAAATTTTACACTGGCATACATTTAACAGGATTTGCAGGTGGAAATTCAGGATTGAAGACCTGAGCATTGGAGATGAAAAGAGTATCTTTCAGTTCTTTATCCAACAATGCTTAACACATAAATTTATTATTAAGACTAAAACGTCATGTCTTCAAGCTCTCTCATACTAGAGACTTGAATTATTCACTGCCAAAGTATAGTAATTCCCAAAAGTGGTCTATCTTCCTCAAGTATTCCTCCTTAATTAGCTATAATCCATTTTTCATATTTTTTGAGCTTCCGTATATCTTAGAAACACGAATCCACCTATCATTATTTCCACTGAAACTTTGAACAAGTTGTGGCAGGTTCTCTCACTGGTCAAAGGCTAAAAGGAAAAATTAAAAACAAAAAAAAAAAAACCTCCACGTACTGTAGAAAACTAGTCAAACAAACAGGAGGGTGCAATTTGGACAAAAAGTTGTGCTTCCCAGATTAGAGCATGCAGGACCCTTTTCGCCACGTGACGCTTTCTGCTCTATAAGCAGCCGTTTAGGCCACCGGGACAAGCCTTGTACTCCACGCTCGCTGAATCGCAGGCAGCCAAAGGACGGAGGAGGGGAGGCTCTGCAGAGTCTTTGGAAAGTTCTGAGATGGGAACAATAATTCATTAACAAGGAACGTTCAGAAATAAGTGCAAATGGATGGGGAAAACAGGTTGAGAAAACAGGTGGGAGAGATCAGGCTTCAGTATTTCAACTTTTAGTGAACTCCAAAACGGGCGCACGAGAAGAACTCAGGTGTGCAAGGCGTGAGACGTGTGCCTGGTAGTGAGTGTGAGGGGCTGTCCGTGCTCCCATCAGAACAACTCACCTGAGTAGGCCCAGTACGGGTCACCAGAAGCTTTGCGCCTGCGGATCTGCACGGAGCCGCCGTGTCTGCTGTCCTGCGGGGCCCCAGCGTAGCCTTCAGTCAATGCTGGAAAAGATGGAGACAGGCAGTGAGAGCAGGTCATCACCCCCTGTGCATACCCTGGTGACCCCAAAAAGCACAGACCTCTGAATGGCTAGAAGAGCCTCCTTATTTGAAAGGAGACAAACAACTACAGGAGGGTCCAGAGCAACTCCCACCAGCACTATTAATCTTAACAGCTGACGGTGCGCGCTGACTTTGCACTGAGACGCAGGGCACACTCCGCTTTACATGCTTCAACTTATTCAATCCGCAAAACATCACCAGGCTGCGGGTACGGCGGTGCGGATGATACGCAAGCCAAAGCACCAAGGAGGGTATTAACTTTCACTTGTGCCAAGTCGGACAACTCATAGAACCAGAGGCTGCAGTTTTGGTTCCAATTTCATGAATAACCATAAATCCTAGTCATAGGCCCGCTGGCCTCATTTGATCTGCACAGACTAGGGGTGGTTGTATCTGTTTGACAGATGGAGAGATTCAAGCTCAGAGACAGTAACTGGCCCCAGGCACACAAGTGAGCAAATAGCAGATCCAGCAAAGGGAACATCAACATCGATGCATCAAAAGCCCGGCCCCCGCCACCCAAACCCAGCATACAGCGAGGCCTGGGAGTCCCCTCACAGGGAGTGTCGGTATTTCACATCCTTGGACCCGAAAATAGCCACCTGCAATACTGAGAACAAGGAAACCTCCACGGCCAACAGTGTTCAGGCGAAAGAAGAAAAGAAACAACACTGCTTAATGATATATTTTTTTAAATTCAAAATGAATCCAATCCACCAAGCAGAAGCAAAAATATTCACCGCCACTCCACAGAGCTCCATCTGCCCGGTATGGTGCTCAAAGCCTTCTCCTCCCATCTTCCTCACGGATGCAAATTTCTCTTGTTGTGAGCCCGCACCTGAACGCACTGATGTGTAAGAACACAAATATCACAGGTGCCCAAAATCCAAAACGAAAGGGAATTATACTCCCAACAATGCACACCACCTGACTATGTTAATATTTAAATGCACCCAAACAAAATTAAGTGTGCTTTTCCAAAGCAAAGAAAATAGGGGAACTGCACTTTCAATTTAAAATGAAGATGGAAAGGGGAAAACAATACACTCTCAATTGCAAATGGGCCAGGAATAACTCTAATAATGGTCTCAGCCTAATGAGAACAAGAAGGGAACGTGTGGACCTCCTCATGCTTACACCTGACTTGCAGAGACGATCTTTAACACAAGCAGAGCTAGAGGAAAGATCCCACAGAAATGAGCCCTGTAGAGGAAAACGGGCATCTAACAAACTCCAAGTAAACATCTAAAAGTAAACCTAGTATCACTTGTATCTGATCACTGGTCCTGAATGACAAAGCCTAAATCTAAGTCTTTAGATTTTGAAAGATCATGTTTAAAGTACAGTGAAGGTTTAGGGCCCTATCATCCAATCCCTCCTACAATTTTGTAGATGAGTCATTCAGAACACTAGGAAGTTGACCATTATAAGCATCTATAGATCAAAAATAAAATTTTCATCTCCTAATTACTCTTTCCTCTACTAAAGCATACCAAATGAGGCTTATATATTGTCTGTACATATTTGAAACGTATATATCTATTCACTGCGCTTCAAGTATTTTTTCCCAAATAATCCTTTTCTTTGTATCAAGACAATGAGTAAAATAATGTCCCCACCATCTGAATAATAAATGTAATTTTTTTTGGATATGTGGGTGAGCCTTAGTTTCCATGTACATCTGTAAAACGCAGCCAAAAATACCAATCGCGAATTACTGTTATGAAAACACAACTTACTATGAGCAGAGCGCCTCATTGTCAATGCTTTTAAATACCTGCAAACTGTTAAATAATATTTAGCACAGAGCCATGGACTTAAACTAAATCAAACCAAACCAATATATGAAAGTAATCACAGAAACTGAGCTTTGGCTGGGAGCAGGAAGTTCTTGAAAATTAACTGATTAGGCTGCAAACAAGTAGCCACTTTAGGTCTGACCACCTAACTGGTTGTCTGACTAAGCTGTAGCCAGTTTAATGATTCTCCATGTCCCTAGTTCATTTTTCTGTAAATCTGTCAGATGGTGATGCGGGAGTTCTCAGGACCTCCTCTACTGGTGGGTGGGGGTGCTGCTCAATTTTGCAAATCATTCTTTTCTCACACCGTACTACATTTAACTGGTCTAAGGGATTTTCCTTTCTAACACAAAGTAGTGGGAATTTGTTTCAGAATCTTTGCTTTTGTAATACTCATACCCTGCTCCACCTAACTGCGAATCATGGATTCGCCAGCAACTTCCTGTTACCATCATCCCTGCCAGCTGTGGGCGGAGCTATGTTTGCAGGAAGTCGGTTGGATCAGTGTATAACTGCAGGTGTTGGGACCCAAAGCCTCAAAGGGGTGGGTTAAGGACCAAGCAAGGATCAACAGAGGAGCTAAAAAGTGGAACCAAGCCAGAAGACAAAGCACCAATCGATGAATTCTGTCAACAATGCATAACCCCTGGGCAAAGCCGATGTGAAGCCAGCCCTATCCTAGGCTTTATATTAACATGAACCAATTACCTGGGAAGGCTCCCTCTTCTGTCTCTTGTATGCAAAAGATCACCCAAAGACAACGAGAGCACTTTAAACAGTCACCTCAAAGCCTCATCATCAAGTTCCCCGGCCATCCAAGACACTGCTGGAATACAGGTCTGACTGTGATCCCTGGGCTGCTTTTAAAAAATAAACAGAAACCCATAGGCTCTGAACCACTCACTGACATTCCCCTGCCCACATGGCAGTACTTTAAAAAAAAAAAAAAAAGGTCTCCAAGTGATCGTTTTAAAGAGCATCAGGGTCTGGACAGCAGCCAGACCAGCACCTAAGTCCCACCTCAACATTCTGGGCAGCGGCAATGGGTGCCTTCCCCTGCGCCTGGCTCCCGGGATTCTATGTTGAAGTCTGACAGGATCAACACACAGCCCTACGGAGCTGGACCCAAGATCCCACAAGGCGCCACTCCTCACTGACACTTCCAACTCCTGCTCTCCCAGCCTGCAACTTCACAACCGAAGTCCTCACACCAATAAAGCCGGCCAAGCGGAAAGAACAGCCCACTGCAAAGGTGACCACGGACAGAGCCAGGTTCAGAACTGAGACAACTCTGAACTGACCCAGAACAGAGTTTTCACCCCAAAGCTCCTTAACAAACCAAGTACAATAGGAATGGGGTTTTCCTCAGGGCTATAAACTCCCACATGAACTCTCTATGAAAGACGGAATGTGGAATTGAAATCCCCACTACCAATCTCCCTTTTATTCCTGGAAAGGGGGGTGCTTTTCATTTCCCAGAAACTCTGAGATCATCAGGTGGTGCAAGGGGGGCCAGACTGCAGCAGGTCTCTTACTGGAGCAGCACCAGTGCCAGCAGCCAACTTCGCCTGCTGAGAACGCCGCACGGGGGAAACAGGAGCACCTCCAAGCACTGTGCTCGAAGTCATGCAGCCTTTACCTAGACAGCATGGAAGCCACGGGATCTGGGGTCCCACTCCCCAAGTTTCTGAAGCTATTAATGGAGAAGCAAAGATATATCCAATTCAAGGAACAGGAGGCTGACATCAGAAGGTCTTCTCATGACAGTGCAAAGCCATGGACTCCACACCCCGAAGAGCAGATACCTTACCGTCACAGCCACACATATACGTCACATCACACTGGCCTGGGGGTCTGGGCCAAGTGTCAAAATGCTGCTGAAAGTTACACAGGAACAAAAATAAGAGGTGTGGCACTGCTGAGGACACAGCAGTGGACAGGGGTAAGAGAGGTGGCAGCACCACCCCAAGGAACGCGGGTTCACCGTACCTTCCTCATACACCACTGCAGTGCTGAGGTACAACGTGGCTCTTACAGAGCCACGGATGTGCGGGAAAGACTGTTCTGAGGGGCACACTGCATGCGCTATGGAGAGGTCCAAGTTGCCGGGAAATAAGAAGCACAAGGATCCCTGGACGACTGCCAACCCACCACCCATAAAGGAGCTCAACACACGGTATGTGGTCATAAGTGAGGAAGGAAGGAAGGAAAGAAGGAAGGAAGGAAGGAAGGAAGGAAGGAAGGAAGGAAGGAAGGAAGGAAAGGAGGGAGTGAGGGAGGAGGAGGGAGGGGAAAGGAAGGGGAGGAAAGGAGAGGAGAAAGGAAAGAGGAAAAGAAAGAGGAAAGGAAAAAGGAAAGGAAAAAAGAAAAGAACAAGGAAAGGAAAAAGAAAAGGGGGAGGGGGGAAGGAGGCAGGGAGAAAGGGAGAGAGAAAAGAGAGAGTGAGAAAGGAGAGAGAAAGCCCTATGGGGTCACTGTTCTGGTAGACAGTGGACGTAAGCGTGTGTTACGGCTTATATGTAGACATCCCCACCGAGCCTCCCGTGGTTGTAAGTAGGGATGTTCAGAGGTGGCTGGTGTACAATGTGTGATGCTGGGGTGAAGAGTGTGTGATGAGGGCTGGGGACACAGCTCAGTGGCACAAGTCCCCGTCTGGCAAACGCAAGGTCCTGAGTTTGACTGCCCGTACGAAAAAAAAGTGTGTGAGCCTTTGGTCTGGCACAGTTCTGGATGTAGGTAGCGGGAAGGCCCAGTGGGTGTGCATGCTTTGTCTGTCCTAAGGACGCGAAGCCCAGACAGAATAGAAGGGACAGAAATGCGGCTGCTGCCGCGTCATTTGCTGCTTGTGGATTTCTTTGCTCCTTCACTGCCACGTCTGCCCACCATGAACAGTTTCTCCTCTGCGATGCCCAGCTGCATGCCGCCCTGCCTTGAAGCAGCCAACTATGGATGGAAACCTCTACAAACTGTGCGCCAAATACACCTTTCCTCCTTTAACTTTGGTTGTTGGGTATTTTGCCTTAGCCACCAGAAAAGTAACTAAGATAGGGTGTATCTGTCTCTCAGTGTGCATATATAGTTAATAAACCATATACCACAGGCAAAAACACAACCTCCTCGGAGCCTCTCTTCTGAGCCCCT